AGTAAACATGCCCCAAACATTTTGTGATTGTTAAAAATTGTATGCATACAATAAGCCAGAACATGGGTGGGAGTCAGGACATCCCAAATAAATAAGGGTTCTGTTTGTTGTTCCTTTGTACACAGAGGTCTGGTGTCCCAAAGTAAGGATGCTGTTGATAGCTACGTCTCCCTCATGCTGCTGCCTGACAAAAGTAAAGCCACTAAGAAAAAGACAGCCGTGAAGAAAAGAGACCTCAACCCGGAGTACAGTGAAAGGTAAAAGCATTTTCTTTATTTATTTTTGAAGCTGTTGTTGTTTCTTGACTGTTTCTTCATGCTTTTTAATATTTGTTAAGGTTTGAGTATGACCTGCCTGAAGACGAGGCCAGATTCAGGCGCCTCAGTGTGTCGGTGAAGAACAACTCCGCCTCCTTCAGGAGCCGGGATGTTATTGGACAGGTCAGTGTGAAACTGCACCCACACACAGTTTTATCACCTTGTTTGTAGGGCAGCATAAGCTCAAGAGTTTTCAGACAATGCTGTGTCAATTCTCCACAAAACATGGAAAAAACTACAAATAAAAACAGGAAGAATGTTCAGCATGCAGCCTGGCTGGGGACTTATTCTACATTTGGCATGCGTGTCACACTGAAAATAACTAAACATATGAAGAATCGCCCCTTACAGCTGCTTATTTTTCCCGTTAGGTGCAGATTGAGTTGGCCCAGATTGACCTGAAGTCTGGAATCACTGACTGGTGAGCAGAGCCTGTTGAATGAAACCCAAACTCTGATTTGTGCTGTACAAAATCACATACAAGCTACAAATGATTTGTAGATCATCTATCTCATGCTTGTATTTTTATAAAAATATCAACATTTTACTTCATGTTGTAGCCTAGATGTTTTGCTCATAGAGAAACTAGATTTAGTGGTAGATGATAGAAGATACTTTGTCTAATCCTCTGGATGATGTAAGATGTTTGGTCTTTTTTGCTTTTCATTAAATGTTTATTTTTATTGCAGGTTCACTTTGGCTGATGATGCTGAATAGCTGCCTTCCTCACCCACCTGGAGAGTTTAATGACTGAACTCTGCTGTTACGCTCACTGATGCCTTCTCTTTCCCACCACTGTTGCAGTTTCAACTGCATCCGCCCAGCTTACTGTGTTTGAATATGAGGTATAAATGGACTGCACTGCAAATAGGTTCCTGCACCACAGATAAGATGACAAAGCAGTTAAGTAGAAGGAAAGTAATTAAGTTTAAAGATGGAGCTGAGAAAGTAGATGATGAAGAACCCTTTGAAGGACTTTATTTTTGTTTTTTATTGTTTTTTTTGGTGGATAATGGTAAAGTGGGACAGTTTCCTGCTGGAAGGGCAAATATGTTTTATATGTATCCTTTAATCATTGTCTTGATGCCATCTCAGTATTCAAAACTTTATCTTAAAAGGGCAGTATTATGTAAAATCATCTTTTCTGAGCTTTACATCATGTTATAATGCTATACACTCATCATAGACAGACCTGGAGTGTTGCCTCGATTCCTTCATGCATGTTTGAGAAATCCTTTTGTAACAACTGAAGGTAACAGTTAATTGGTTGAGCTATAAAATGGCACAATGTGCCTGGAAAATACATAATATTGGCCCTTTAAGACAAATTTAAACTATAAATCATAATCATGTTACTGCACTTNGCCATCTGTCTTGACTAATTATTTTTCTACACTTGTTTTTTTACAGTTTAGCATGTTTGCTTCACATGCTTTCTTTTTATAAGTTTGTATATTTGCAACGATTTCAGATCCGATGGAATCCTGTTTGCTGAAATATGGTAAAAAAAATAAATTTGTTTTGCAGCTTCACATGTGCTTTTGAATTCTGATGGATGGATGATTGGTGGAAAATATGTTTCTATGCAATTATGAAAGGAAATAAGAACTTACCTAAAAGATTAAGATTATGTG